CACAGATAGACATTCTTCTGGTATTCTCTGCTTTCAGCCAAGATCCATCTAACATCAGCAACAATATCCCAAACCCAGCCTGGACTTCCGGCAGCTCTACACTACTAGTGGTGTCTTTTTGTGATTTTTTAGGAAATTTATGAATTGTGCTTTTTATGCCTAGTTTAGAGCAATAAGGTTCTTTATTATATTACATATACAAAGAAAGGAAACAGATTGTGCGTAATTTCCTAAAAATTACTACAGGGCTTGGTTGGTTTTTTTAAACAAACAATACCACAGCCACACACAGCACAGCCCAACTAAATATGAAAACCTAGATTGGACGCTGGAAGAAAAAAAAAGGACATAGTGGGACAACTGCTGAAACTTTAATACTATCAGTATTTTATATCAGTATCAGTAATATAAATTGTAGGGAGCTCAGGTGGTCGGTCTAGTGGTAAACTTTGCTACAATCTGATAACAGGTTATGTTCTATAGAGTTGGAACCAACTCCTAGCTGTCCCTCTAGGTTTTTGGAAACTGCAAATCACTTGGGAGAAGCTGGTAAATTCGTACTCCCTACTTTTGGTTGGCTGTGCAACTCCCTACTGTCAGGCCCCAGAGCTCCCAGTCTTTATTCTACCCCTAGACATTGTGATCTAATTAGTCTTAAGGGGGTGACCTAGGCTTTTTTTCTTTTAGATTATTGTAATGCAAATTTAAGAACTACTGCACTGTGATGATGTCCCTTACTAAAAAAAATCCTAATCTTAGTTGAAGTAAAAACTCAACTGCCATCAAGTTAAAACTGACTCACAGTGGACTCTCCAGTTTTCTTAGGTTGTAAATTGAACAGGAAGAGATTGCCAGTTTCCTGCTGTGGAAGTGGTGATGGATTTGAACTGCCAGAGAAAAGTGCACAACGCCCTATGGACTAACCACCAGGGCTCCCTTGTGGTGGTGGCATGTGCCATCAAATCGCTTGCAACTCATAGCGACCCTATCAACAGTCCTGAAACCTGCTATATCCTGGGCCAACTTTACTGTCTCTGACGCATCACACCTAGCCTCATTATCCATCACTGTATCAATCCATCTCACCAATGGTCTCCCTCTCTTTCTCTGTTCCTCCACCCTTCCAATCATGATGTCACTCTCCAAGGACTGGTCCCTCCATGCAACAAGCTCAAAGTATGTCAGATGAAGCTTCAGAATCCTTGCCTCCAAAGAGCAGCCTGGCTTCACCCTCTCTAGGCCAAACCTGTTTGTTCTCCTGGCAGTCCATGGTAAATTCAACACTCTTCTCCAGCACCACAGCTCAAAGGCATCAATTCTCTGTCATCCTTAGTCATTTTCCAGCTCTCTGACACATAGCAAGCAACTGTGAAGACTATGGCCAGGATCAGGCACACTTTAGTTTGTCACAGGAATCCAGAATTAAGGTTGCATAGAGAAGTGTACTCGGGGTGGGGGGTGGGGGGAAGGGACGTGGGAATTGTATACTAATGAAGGAATTTTTTTTCTTTTTCTTTTTTTTCTCTCTTCGGAGGGGTAAGCAAGCTGGTGTGGAGGGGTGGGAAGGGAGAAAATTGCGACAATCAATGGAAATCCAAAACCTCTGTAAAAAAAATAATAATAATAAATTTTTTTAAAAAAAAGGTAGTGTGGTAATAGACACAGATCACTGGTAATTGGTTGTACATTATAAAGTATATGTATAAACACGATTGTATGAAAAAAAATCTCAATTGAAAAATCAAAAAAAGTCTATTATTACACTTTATAATTCACTGCCATTGATTCTAATAGCTCTATGAGACAGAGTAAAACTGCCCCAAAGAGTTTTCAGTTGTTAATATTTACAAGAGTAAAGTGTCTCCTCATCTTTCCCTCAAGCAGTGGCTAGCAGGTTCAAACTTTTAATTATTAATTTTGCTATTAAACAACTTCATTAAGCTCCATCTCCTTTGGCTGGATCAGCTGTCCATTGTTCCTCATTTTTCCAATCTAGTCATTATTCCTGGGCTTGTTTCACAAAAGTGTTTTTTCTCAACAATGGTGCCTGGAATTCTAAACCTAATTTAATCCACTAATAAAAAATCCTACCAATTGCTTTACTTTTCAAACCCATTTCTTTCCCTCCATCACCACCTGGCCGTGTTCCTAATACTTTCTCACCTAGGCTGTTAATCTAGCACTAACCTTCTCAATTAGTCTACCTCCAGCTTCACCTTCCAGAGAATTAAAACAATGTTTTTAAATTTTTTTCATTGGAAGTTTACAAATCATAGTGGCTTTCCACTCATTCACTGACATTGTTTTATAACATTAGTTACAATTGGTTAATGTATTTAGGCAAACATACCATACTACCTTTCCCCCTTCGTATATCTCCCAGGATTGATTCATTCTGTGTATAAACTTTTCTTTAGCTTTTCGTATTAGTGGTCTTATACCATAATTTTGGAAGCAGGAGTGGCATCCACTTCCTAAACATGCTCCAGAAACTCTATGCACTTTGATAAATGATGATAGTTTTAGAAAGGCTTCAGGCATTCTGTTCATCGGGTCACTGAGTCATGCTCAATTCGAAGGCAATCAACAATACAATGGCCTTTTTGTGACTAATTTATGGTGCAGTCTGTAGGGAGTTGCACCAGCCTGTCAGTTCAAATCCACCAAAGGTTCCACAGGAAAAAATATGGCGATCTCCTCCTGTGTGATTTACAGACTTGGAAAGCTGCTGGAGGGTCAGCTGTTGAGTCAATTTTTACTTGAAGGCAATAAGGAGGGATAAAAGTATGCCACCCAGCATAATTAGTGCTAAATTTATCTATGCTGCACAATATTCTACTAATGCTTAGTAATTTTTGGTGGTGGGTAGGTGCCACTGTGTTAACTGACTCATAGTGACCTCATTCACACATGAGTCTTGGCCCTATCCTGCTCCAGACCATTGTTGTAGTCACTGTGTAAATCTAGCTTATTGAGGGTGTTCCTCTTTTACTGATCCTCCACCTTCCCAGAAAGGTGTCTTTTCCCATGGACTGGCCTCTCCCGAAAACATGCCTAAGGTACATGAGCCCACGTTTCACCATCCTTGCCTCCAAGGAGCACTCTGAGAGCACTTCCTCCAAGACAGACTTGTTTGTTCCTTTGGCAGTCCATGGGACATAGCAGTCTTCTCTAATACAACTTAAAGGCATCAATTCTGTCATCCAACTTTCAGTCTGATGCATAGGAAGTAATTGAAAAGACCATGGCCTGGATCAGTTTAGTCTTTAAACTGACATCTTTGCTCTATAGAACTTTGGAGACGTACTTGACAGTAGATTTTTCCCCACTGCATTTTTTTTAGTGATGTATAATACTCTATTGTGTGTATATACTCTAGTTTCATTATGCAGTCATCCTCCACCCATGGACATTAACTTCTCAGACTTTCCCTAGAGTGGTCTCTCATGTACTCAGTGTCTTAATGTCTTTATCAAGATAGTCCCTATAATACTTTCTAGCTTTGAAGCCTTGAGCAAGTTCTCTTGCTTTACAGATTTCTTTATATGTAAAACGGTGGTTGGTACTAAAATTACTCAGATGATGATGTATCTATCTTACAAATATCTCTGGAGACAGTAAATGCTATACAAGTTAACTTTGTGAATCATCTAAAATCTCTTCCACACTAACATTTACGGCTAAAACAGGTTCCAGCTACTACCACCACTCATCTCTTTGCAAGATGTAAAAAGGGCAGATGTGAGACAGAAT